TAATAGGCCCATTTAACAAATCCTGCAGAAACTACTGAGCCGAAGCACTTCGGCCCATTACCACAATTGGTGGGAAGTGGGATAAATTAGGGAACTTGCGAACCTTTTCCCGTCCCACACGGTGGACTTGGAAGTCGTCGGAAGTGAAGGCCAGAACTGAGAACTCCACTCAGTCAGTCGGAAGACTCCAAGTCAAGACCACTTGACTTAGCAATAATGGAGCACTATCTCAATTTTCTTGGTCGGGGGCTGGACGTTGGAAAATGCCTAGTCCGCGTCAGTCCATGTACCGAATTAGGTGACCCTTGTAAAGCCTCCAAAAGGAGAAGAAGAAGAAGAAGAAGAAGAAGAAGAAGAAGAAGAAGAAGAAGAAGAAGAAGAAGAAGAAGAAGAAGAAGAAGAAGAACTACTTATAGACAGAGAGCTCCATTCCAAATTCCAGTATTCTTTTATATATGAAATGTGGGTACGCTTTATTGCCCAAACTTCTCCATTACTGTTTCAATATTTGTCGTCTTCTTCTGACGAGGCCGGAAAGAACTTCCCAACTTCGATGGTTGTATCCACCCCGTTCGAGACGCCCAGCCCTTCCCCTTTCAGACTCCCATGCTTCCGTACCCTCTGACTATCCCTTCCCAGAAATCCACCTCCGCACGATTCCGGGCTGCTTCCACACGCAAAATTCCCTCTGTGTCATAAGAAAAAACCCCTTCGTCTTGCCTCTTTCCGCTGAGTTCCTCCCCTGACAAATCCATCTCCCACACTCTACCCTTAACAGTCACATCCCTCCCGATTTCCATCCATCCAAAATCATCTGTCCACCTCTCTACACCATGTGCATTTTCTCCCACCACCATCCATTCCAATCATCCAGCCTTCCTCTCATTCATCTCAAAAACTTTATTTATCCCTCCTCTCTTCCGACTCCAATCGTCGGGGCATAAATCCTAGCAACAACGAGAGTGAGAATCCACCATTGGCTCCGGGGAGGACCAACTTCAGCTAGGTCAACTGGGTTCCGTTTTGTTCTATTAGCCCTTCGAATCCAGCACCACCCTGCAAAGATGGAAGTACTGGCCCAACTGCAGACTCTGCTTCCGGCTAGGCCATTGGTTAGTTTTCTTTGATTATCCTTCAATCTTCAGGTGCTTCTGCGTTTGGGGCTTCACAAAGGCTAGGAGGCACTATAATTTAGGGAATGACAACTCAAGAGCTGGAAAATGCAGTGTCAAGTCAATTCTTACAGTGGCTGTCGTGGTGTTACTTTCAGATAATCTCGCTCTTATATATGTTTGTAGTTTGTAACAATGGAAAACTGTCTAAGGTGCGGAAAGTCTTGAGTTGTTTAGCACTTGGTATTTCATGGTTTACTTAGCATGTGATACATCCTTCTTCAGTTGTCTCTCTATTTCTTAATGTTGTTTGGTGATCATGTTTGGTTCATTATTCATTTCACTTTGTTAGAGCCTAGAAGTAATCTATTTCTTTTTTTTTTTTATTTCAACCCCATTACTGTTAATTGAGATTTCCACTAATTGATTATAAGTTCCCCATTCCTTACAGCAATGATTGATCCCTTTTCGTTTCACTGTCATTCTTAGGTTTTCCACTAATTGATTATAAGGTCCTCATTGTCTGTGTTTTGCACTTGATATGGAACCTGTAAATCATCATACCAAATCACTCGCTCGGTATGCTATTGGCATAGACAAATACAGCAGCGAACCAGTTATTGGAGCTCCAATCCAGCACACTTGAGCCCTGTTTGATTTAGGCATAGTTGTCGTGAAGAGAACCTGCAAAAATTGATACAATTGAGCTTCTGAAATTTCTTATTTGCTTTGTACACTGATCATTTGATGTGCTGCTTTTGTACCTTCTAGAAGACAGGATTATCAAATTGCTGAGTATTAGTTGCTCCAATATTATTGTTGATATTCTTTATATACAACCAGATGGTTTGATCTTGGAAACTTAAACTGATTTTGCATATGGTACTTTACAGGCGAAGGCATGAAAATAAGAAGGGAAGCATAAGGCGGAACCCCTTACTCAATCTCATTTTCTTCAAGAAAGAGAACTCCTCAAATCAGGAGAGAGCAATGTATTTGTTTAGATGCCATTACAGTACATGTCAAGAACCCTACTAATACCACTTCCAAAATCGTCTTTTCTTATAAACTTAAACTAATTCTAGATATGCTACTTTACAGGTAAAGGCATGAAAAGAAGGAGGGAACCATAAGGAGGAAGGCCCTAAGGCACAGGAGCAATCTCATTTTCTTCAAGCAAGAGAAAATTAACCTCAAATCAGGTTATTAGAATAGGAGCAATGTATTTGTTTAAATGCCATGAGAGTACAAATCAAGAACTCTACTATTACCACTACTAAAAAAGTGCTTATGCTTTCATTGCCTATGCAGAAAGAGCAAGAATGTTGCATCTCCTTTGGCTTTATCAACAAAACCAGCTCGGCTTCAAACTTCAGTTCATACGAATCCAGTTTCCATACCAAGGTCAGTTCCTGCTCATGTTTACCTCTTTTGAATCCCATCTTTGATGTGGAAACCTTTACTCTTGACATGGGCATGGATGTCGGCCAATCAGAACTGTGCCAGCTGAACTGGAAGCAGAGTAGCCAGCCATAACTTTTAAGAGTATGAATGAATGAAATTTGACTACACCAGTATCTATTAGTTTTTTGTCCTTCTGTTGAGGATTTGTTTGGATGATGGTATTGTGATTCTGTTATGGACTCTAATTTAAATGTCTTAAGAGAATACATGCATTGCCCAGTGCTGGGCTTTCTTGCTGTTTTAACTTTTAAAGATGATAGCGTAGGGGATATTGGACTTCCCAGGCTGTTTCCTTACAGATTATGGTATCCGAGTGCATGAGATCCAAACATTCTGTAGAGTTAGTCTTGAGTTATGACCTCAGACGGTTGAACTTTGATTGCACGTTAATTTGGTTTACTAAGTTTCGTATGTACTTTCTCATTTATATCCCTTTGTTTCCTTTTGAGAATTGTTTGTTCAAAGGATTCTGAAGTCAGATTATATATGGGTTGGCACTTGGATGGTAATGTTGTTGTGCATCTCTTTATCCTGTCAAGTATCCACTTTAGCTATTCTCACAGACCAGGTTCTTATCGTCCATCATTTTGTATGTTTTATTTGCTTGCCCTAGCGAACCTACCACCACCATGCTGTTTCTCATTCTTATTTTCCCTTCCATCCCCACCATAATTTTCCTCGGCTACATATGTTGCTAATACATCTGAAGTTGGGCCTGATGTTGTTTGTTATTTGACCATCCAAGTGCACGTGTTCGAGTTCTGGCCCAAGTAGCTTTCAAGTGGAAGGTGGATTCAATGGAAGCTCTATCGGTTGTGTCCTCTAAAGCTGCACTTGGTGTCGTGACGATGTTGTTGAAGTAAAGCGTTTCAGTTTTATTGTTGATGTTGTTACTGCTAAATGGATAGTTGAGCGTCAAATTGCTGCTACTTCATTGTATTGTTGAAAAACTAATGTCATTTTAGTTACTAAACACAAACATCTATACATTTCATGGCCAATTTAGAATGTTTTCCCTTTGTTGTCAATCAGATATACTCTCTTTATCTTTTTCTTTTCAGATGCTGCAGATCTTAAGTTTTCCTTTCAAAAACTGATGTGCAAGGTCTTCTTTTCAGTAGTTGAGGCAGACTATTGAGTATTTTCTTGGTAATGTTTTCAGTGTGATGTTTGCTCCTGCCATTTTAAGTCACCGACACACCATTGATTGACATATCTATTGCTAAGAAGATGATATGGTTGCAAATTAAGTCCCCGCGGCGTAGCCGTGGGTGTTGATTCTAGTTCTTTTATATATGAAAAGTGGGTACACTTTATTGACCCAAACTTTTCGGTACTGTTTCATTACTTGTCGTATAGTGCAAAAACCTTCTCCAACCAGCTTTGCAAAAAAACTTCTCGCAGCCACCTCCACCGAAAATTTTACCCTCCCTTTGCAGCAGCCCATGCTTCCGCATCCCCATCCCCATCCATTCACCCTCAGTACAAAATCTACAATTAAGTCATCTCACGCTATCTAACACTTTCAGCTTGCTTCTTCAAGTGGTTTTCACAGCTGCTTCACACGCAATAGCCCATGCATTTGCACAGTTCTACTTTACTCTAAAATCTGGATTAAGAGAGACTTCTCTCCTCTGGGTAGACCATTTCAGTTTCAGCTGCAACTACTAATTTATTCCTTTGTTTCTCTATTCTCGGTTTCCACACCCGCAGAGGGAAGCTCCGTCGTGTATTTCGGTGATGGATTCTGAGACTTCCCTCTGCGAAGTCCAAGGGAAGCTGTCGACGGAAGAATCCTTCGTCGTTGGAGTCAACCTGCACCACCATCTTCTCCAGCTTGCCTTCTTGCTGGATTGCTGGTTACTCTGCAACACAGTACGATTCTCCTCTTTTAACTCCCATATTTTTCTCTGTTGCGCTCCTATGCGTCTTGCAGCCCTCCCCTCTCGAACGGCGATTCAGTTTTTTGGATTGTGCAACTTTCAAGATTTCTTGCACAAATTGGTATGCTATATGACCTTTCTTTCTCCTCTAACTCCCTTATTTTTTCCTCTACTACGCTCCTAATGGCGCCTTGCATATGGGTTGAAGTATTGTCAAGGTTCTTGGGTAGTTTGATATGTATCTTTGCTGCTTTTTTCTGCAATTGATGATGGCAGGTTGCGATAATAGCAACAAACATTAGCCTTTTGTTTTTTTATCAAACTTATCAACATTATGTGAGAACCTTGACCTCTGCTCAGACCATCCACCTGTCCATTTAATTTTTCCATAGAGTATTCATGCTCAACCACGGACTTTTTATGCTTCTTCATCTTTGGATGATGGAGATTTTGATTCTCACATCCACAAGTTTGTTGCTCTTAACTATCATCATAACTGTTTGGTCAACCTCGACGTAAATCTGATGCTCAAAATGGGTTTAAAATGTTTTGCAGGGAAGTTGAACAGAGTTAAACCATTACTTCGTGGCCTAAGACAAGTTGGAATCCCTTTGGATCAAAAGCTTCCGCCTTTCTCAAGTTCCAAACTATGAAGCAAGAAATTATTAAGCAGCAGCATGCCTTTGGATCAAAAGCTTCCGCCTTTCTATACTTCCAAAATGAGAAGCAGGAAAATGGTAAGCAGCAGCATCACTGTCACCCCAAGAGAAGTTTCATAAGGTTGTAATTCGAGGTTTTCACTTGATTTCTGTTAGGAGAATTCACATCAAAGTCTTTTTGTTTGGGATTGAAAGCCAAGCTCGAGTTTTGAGTTTCCCTTGCTTCAAGATAGAGGTTTAAATTCTTATGTTGTTAATTCTAGATTTAATGTTGCCTAATATATAGCTATTCCTGGTTGTTGCAGGTGTCTGTTTGAATGGGTTTCTAGACAGGTTTCCCATGTCAAACTTCATGTATTATTTGAGTTCATTTATACTTGGAGATGCTTAGTAGACTCTTCCTCTATTGAGGCACTTGCTTTACATTCTCTTTCTTTATGGCAAGGAACATGTTGGTTTGATTTTCGAACAACCTTCTTGCTGAGAAGGAATTAGGGTTTGTATTTACACTAAAAGAGCCCAAAGGATACTTGTGATCAGATTGATAATATCTTATTCTATTATGTTAATCACTCTCCCTTTGTTAATTTCCCCTTTATTTGTTTTTTTTTTTTCTGAACAGGTTGTCCCTGTTCCATCCTCAAGGGAAGCTGCTGCCTCATATTATTAACGTGGATGCTAAAATAATGAGTTTGAAATTAGTTTCCAATATAATTCAGTTCCATATAAAAGCTTAACTTAACTGAACAACAACATTTCCTTAAGCTTGCATCAAGTTCTGACAACAAGCTTGGGCCTCACGAGTTGCTAAAAGTTCTGAACAAGATTCAGTCATATTGTTCAATGTCTCCATGACTTTACAAAAGAAAACAAGTACAGGGATCCAACTAGCCAGCAGATCAATGCATTGGAGCAACACATTACGAACCTGCTATCCACATCGACCACACACTTCTTCAACACGCTCTATGTTTCAACAAGGTGCTGACTTTGTCCGTAGGTGTCCTTCCAATCTCTGTGAGGGCGCTGCCACAAGTGTTTGTCATGGCCTGTGTATGAAACATTTTGGATTAGGTAGACTGTGTTTTCTGGCGAAGAAATTTTTAGGTGTAAACAGACTGTAAAATTGCTTTCTGCTTTTCTATTAGATTACCATTATTTATATTTGTGTTGTTGGAAACTCAGTTTCTGCTATTTAGGAAAAACTTCAGCCTGAAATTATGTGTGTTATGATGCAATTGGTGCCTTCAAGGGGTGTAGTTGGAAATTGAATTGGGTATCATTATAGTTTATCACATCATGAGAAACAACATAGATATTATACAGTTACAGTCCTGATTTTAGCCACATGTGTCGTCAACTTACAGTCCTGATTTTAGCCACATGTGTCGTCAACTAAGTGTTGGTCGTTTTTTTCAAACAATATCATGGAAATCATGTGGAATGCAAGCCATAAATGGTCTTGGAATATAGTTGTTGCACATATTGTTGATTTGCTCTTCCTTTGTAATCCGTCATGTAAACTCAGTTTAATTATTTAGACATGTTAATGTATGGGGTTTCTCTTCTCATCTCATTGATCGCTTTCTTTGTATGGTGCTTAAAGAAGCATGTCTGCATATCTTCGTGTCAGCTAACGATAATTATGATCAACCGAGGAAGCAGTTTAGTAGTTTTTGTTCTCTTTTTTACTTGACTAAATTCTAAAAATAAAAGCATCAGACATTTGGGAAAAGCTGCTGCTAGGGACGGTCTTCTTTGTTCATCTTCCCTGATGTTTGTGCATTCCAGGAAAGAGTTTACTTGCGACTGACATGTTTGTTCCTCTTTCTTTGTTCATCTTCCCACTCTTACTATATATTGTTACTGATATGGTTACATCAAGTGGTATGAGTTCTCCTTATATGTGAGCTATATGTTGTTGGTCACATGGACCGAAAGATTACGGCAACCAAAACTCATAATTGTGAATTGTGATAATGGCCTTTCAAAACCAGCATAATGTGGTAATGACTCTGAATAAACAAGTACCTATGTTGATGAGAATGCCATAGAGAATGTAACAATTGTGGAAGAAAATGAGCTCATAATTATCAAAGAACCATAAATTGAAACTCCCAAGTGTATAGAGAATGACGAGATGAAACAAGTCACACGGATTATGAAGGTGAAGAAGACAATCATTGACCAAGTGTTTTTAATCTTTTGTTGTTTGTTTGTCGTCTTCGTTTTTCTCTAACGACGAACCAAAAAATGGTTGTTCAACAATTCGGGATCTGCTGCTGAAGAAGAGGACGTGGATTTTTCCAAGTCATAGATTCATTCATAGAGTTCTGAATGTTTACTTGATAATCTTATCTATTGTAGTGCAAGGAAAATTGAAAGTAATATAGTAGTAATTTCACAAAATTTATAGCATGCTCAAAACTTTTAAACCAGTATCTTTGTTAGCAGGACAACGATCCTTAATGTGCTGTCACCTAAACTGGCAACCATTTGATTATGTTGTTGTAATTTAGTTCCTGCGGCGTTGCCGCGGGTATTGATTCTAGTCTCTACTTAATAACACAGTTTCCCCACAGACAGAGAAAGCAGACACAATAACCAGATTTAACAATGGCAGAAACACACTTGAAAGACTATCTGCTATTACTATTACCAATGATGATGATGATGATCATCATCTGGGGAGTGCCCTGTGGTTGCTGTCCTGGCGACCAGAAAGCTGCTCTCCTCGAGTTCCGGTCCCTATACGTTGGAAACTCCTCTGCTGGCGGCGATTTTTCCAACTGGAACGCCAGTACGAGTTGTTGCGAGTGGTCGGGGCTTTCCTGTGATTCCCGGCATCAATTCGTCATGGCGCTTGGCCTCCTAGATACGGGTTTCATGGGTGAGCTGCTGGAAGCAGGGGTGAGTTCGGATGTTCTAACTCCGCTCTTTCTTCTCACGTCATTACGCTATCTCGACCTGTCTCAGATTTACATACGAGGTGGAATCCCACCTGGAATAGGGAATCTGACACAACTTCAAAAACTTGATCTATCTAACAATCGCTTCAGCGGTCCAATTCCTCCTCAGCTGTTTAGCGCTCTGCCTCATCTGCAACAACTTGGGTGTGATGGGAATGCATTAGAAGGGAAGATCCCCATAGAGATTGGCAACCTGACCAATCTCGTGGATGTTTTTATGCATGGCAACAAACTCTCTGGAGAAATTCCCGCGACTTTGTTGCAGTTGCACAAGTTGGAGACGTTGTATTTGAAAGACAACTTTTTATCTGGGGAGATCCCTAGTGTTCAAAACATGACTCGGTTGATAGATCTAAAGCTCGACAACAACTTTTTGTCCGGTGAGGTTCCGACTTGGGTGTTCGAATTGTCCATGATACAGCGTCTGTATTTGGGGAGAAACAACCTTACATTTGCATATGCAAAGCAAATTGCCCCAAAATCCAGATTCACTCAAGTATCCCTGATATCCTGCAACATTGCTTCCAATGGAATCCCTCTCTGGCTGGCGAACCAGTCTGATCTAGAGACTCTCGACTTGAGAAGCAACCGAATGACAGGAACCTTCCCCGGGTGGTTGGCTGAAATGCACCTGACTGACTTGGTTTTGGCAGATAACTTGCTTCAAGGTACTCTGCCTCCTGAATTGGCTCTCAATACACATATGCAATATCTTGACTTGTCCATGAACAATTTTGAAGGACAAGTTTTTCCGAATCGAGATGCTAACAAGACCAAGCAAAATAGCTACGAGGCGTTGATTCTTTCCGATAATAATTTCAATGGGTCACTTGGACCCCACATCTCAACTATGACCTACTTGACTTACCTGGACTTATCAAGAAACCAATTGACAGGCGACCCTTTCCTATTTCTTTGCCGACATGCTTCTTATAGCTGTCCATCGTATATCAACCTTTCTTTCAACATCTTTCACGGCAATATCTCCATATCTTCTGGCCGTGCATATTCCTTGGTAGCCCTTGAAGTCGCCCACAACTGCTTCTCTAAGATTTATTTACCAAAAAATCTAGAGAGACTCTATCTCATTGATCTTCGTGACAATAGAATTTCAGGTGAGATTCCAACTTCTTTGTCTCGAATTTCATTTGTACAGATTTTGAGTCTTCGGAACAATCTCTTTCAAGGGCCGATTCCAGCAACTCTTTCCAATCTCATAAGCCTTCAAATTTTAGACCTCTCGGGAAATAAATTCAGTGGCAGGGTGCCCATGAAAACAATTGGGAGAAATGGGTAAAACCCTAATGCTTGATTCTTCTCATTGATCTGTTTAGCCATTTTATAGGCAGATGGATTACAGAAAAAGACAGCCAAGCTAGTACATTTTGTCTATTAGCTTGGAGAGGAAACAATTACAAACTTGAAACAAAAGAAACAGAGAGGAAGAAGTAAAGTAAAACGACACAGCTTTGGTGATGTTTGCTAGCTTCCTGAAACGCTGCCGGATTGGAGAGTGTCTTCAACCTTCGAAATCTTTTGACCGTTGGCATTGAATTTTAGGGATTCATTTCCTGTTACCCCCCCCCCCCCCCCCCCCCCCCCCCCCCCCCGCAAGCTGGTGGGCAGAGATTCTGGACACCGAGCTTGGACAGTAATTGAAGGAAGGGTCCTGGAGATAAAGGCTTAGTGAAGAGATCAGCCACCTGGTGAGTTGAGGAGACATGGAATAGCTTGAGAATCTTCGACTGGAGCTTGTCGCGCACCAAGTGACAATCGAGCTCGATGTGCTTGGTGCGTTCATGGAAGGTAGGATTGTCAGCGATGTAAATTGCGCTTTGATTGTCGCAGTAAAGATGAGCTGGTTGTGGATGCAGGACTTGGAAGTCTCGTAGCAGATAAAGAATCCATTGGAGTTCACAAGCAGAGAATGCCAGAGCTCGGTACTCGGCTTCGCAGGAAGAACGCGAGACAGTTTGCTGCTTTTTGCTCTTCCAGGAGATGAGGGATTCACCCAGGTAAACACAATAACCTGTGATTGATCTGCGTGTGTCAACACAAGCAGCCCAATCAGAATCTGAGAAAGCTTTGAGTTGAAATTGACCTTTAGATGAGAAGAAGATGCCCGTGGCTGGGGCACATTTTAGATATCTTAGGATCCTTTGAACTGCTTTGAAATGTTGAACACTTGGATTGCCCATGAACTGACTCACTTGCTGTGTTGCAAAGCTGATATCAGGGCGGGTTGTTGTTAGGTAGATGAGTTTTCCCACTAAGGTTCGATAGAACTCAGGATCTTCAAAAGGCTGGTCACAGGTACTGGTGAGGTGAGTTTTGTAGTCCATAGGAGTCGTGACTGGTCTTGAGTCCAATAAGTTCGCCTCTTCAATAATCTCAAGGGCATATTTTCTTTGAGAGAGATGAATACCTGAATTGTTCCTTGCCACTTCCATACCAAGAAAAAACCTGAGAACACCTAGGTCTTTAATGCTGAACTCAGAATGAAGAAAGTCTTTGAGTTGCTGAATGGCGTTTGAATCATTGCCTCCAACCAATAGATCATCCACATAGATGAGGATGCAGGTATAACTTGAATCAGTGACTTTGTAAAACAAAGAGTGGTCTGCTTTGCTCTGAGAATAACCAACATGCTGTAGTTTATCAGTGAGTTTAGAAAACCACTGCCGGGAGGCTTGCTTGAGTCCATAGATTGACTTCTTAAGTCGACAAACTGGATTTTGGAAACCAGGAGGTGGAGTATATCCCTTAGGGAGAGTCATGTACACCTCCTCTTGTAAATCACCATGGAGGAAGGCATTATTCACATCCAATTGGTGAATATGCCAATTCCTTAAAGCAGCAACAGCTAGAAAAGTTCTGATGGTAGTCATTTTAACAACTGGGGCAAAAGTGTCCTGATAATCAACTCCCTCCTGCTGTGTATATCCTTTGGCAACAACCCTTGATTTGAATCTTTCAATGGTACCATCCTGATGAATTTTGATTCTGTACACCCACTTATTACCAATAGGCTTCTTGCCTTGAGGCAGTTCAACAACATCCCATGTTTGATTTTGAATGAGAGCTCGGATTTCATGTTTCATAGAGTCATTCCACTCATCTGATTTAGAGGCTTCTGTATAGGTAGTGGGCTCAACATAGGAAGATAGATTCATGACAAATGTTTTGTAAAAGGGTGAGAGATTGTCATAAGAGACCATGGAAGAGAGGCCATACCTTGAGTCTTGGACCTGTTGCTGAAGTGAGTGACCAGTGCTATTAGATTGAGAGGCAAGGTAACAGTGGTAATCTTTGGTTAAATGAGTGGGGGGTTTTGATGGTCTTGCTGATTTTCTAGGCTGAATGGTTGGAAGAGCTGGAGGGGGTGAAGGAGAATCTGAAGGAGTAGAACTATTGGAATGTGTGGTTTGGGAGGTAGAGGAGGAAGTGGGAGAGGAACTGTTTGAATGAGATGGTGTAGTTGGTAGAGGTGACTGAGGTAATGGTGTAGGTTGAGAAGTAGGAGGATCATGAAGGAGGGAACTGGTTGGTTCAGGGAGAGGGAATAGGAGATCAGAATCAGGGTTTGTGGTTGGTTGGGATTCAGAAGAATGAAATGGAAAATGAGATTCATAAAAAATTACATCCCTTGAGACAAAGACATCATGGGAATCAAGATCATAAATTTTGTAACCCTTTATACCAGGCTTGTAACCCAAAAACACACCCTTTCTTGCTCGTGGTTGAAATTTGGTTCTATGATTAGCTAAGGTAGAGGCATAACACAAACAACCAAAAACCTTTAAGTCAGTAAGATCAGGGGGGAGGTTGTACAGCTTTTCATAGGGAGTTTTGTTGTGAAGAACAGAAGAAGGAACACGATTGATAAGAAAAACTGCATGTTTTATGCAGTCACTCCAGAAACCAGGTGGCAGGTCAGCCTGGAATTTGAGGGCTCTGGCCACAGCAAGAATATGCTGATGTTTTCTTTCCACTCTACTGTTTTGTTGAGGGGTCTCCACACAAGACATTTCATGGAGAATGCCCTGTGAATCATAGTAATCAGTCATTTCAAATTCCTTTCCTTGATCACTTCGAATTCTTTTAATTGTTGTTTGGAATTGCCTTTGCATTTGGTTGCAAAAGGCAATCAATTTTGGTCTGGCTTCTGATTTGAGTTGAAGCAGAATGACCCAGGTCATTCGTGAAAAATCATCAACAATTGTAAGAAAGTACTTGTAGGAATCATAAGAAGGGACTGGATTAGGCCCCCAAATATCAACATGTAAGAGTTCAAAAGGATGTAGGGTTACATTTTGACTCAATGGAAAAGGCAGTCTCCTTTGCTTGGCAAAGTGACAGACATCACAAGGTAAGCCCTTTTGAGTTTCAATAGAGCTACAAAATTGATTGAGATAAGGAACTTTAGAGTGAGACAGGTGCCCTAATCTAAAATGCCATAAATCAAAAATGTTTGATTTTGCAACAGAGATGATCTTAGGATGACTAGGGGCTTCTAGGTAGTAAAGGCCATTGGTCAATCTAGCAGAACCAGTCACTCTCTTCTGCTCCAGGTCCTGTATGACACAAAGGTTGGAGTGAAATGTTAAACTGAGTGAATTTTGAGCAGTGAGTTTGCTGACTGAGACTAAATTGAAACTGAAACCAGGAACAAAGAGAGCATCCTGAAGAGTTAACTCAGGAGTGCAATGAATTGTGCCTTTATAAGTGGCAGGGATTTGTTGTCCAGTGGGCAAGGTTATGAACACACCAGATATAGGGATAGGATGGAGAAGGTAATCAAGGCAAGAAACAATATGATCAGAGGCACCAGTGTCCAAGATCCATGTGAAACTGTGATTTGGATTGATATGGTTTGGTGCTGATAAGAAACATGTACCTGATGGGGTGGTGGTAGTTGTAAATGCAGCAGCTGTGTGAGGAGAGTGCTGCTTAGAGTTCCCAACTAGAGCCATTAGCTTGTCATAATCAGCCTTTGAAAGCTTAACAGAATCATCAGGAGATGTGATTGCAGAATGAGCATATCCTCTGCCTCGTCCATATGAAGAGGTGGTAGTCCTGGGAACATAGTTAGCTGGAAAACCATGTTTCTTAAAACATTTGTCCTCAGGGTGGCCATGTTTACCACAGAAAGTGCATTCAATCACATTGGATGATGTAGACATAGGAGGGGATCGAGTTGACATTCCTGGTGGAAAACCATGTTTGATAAAACAAACTTCCTCTGTGTGCCCCTCTCTTTTGCAGTAAACACAGTAAGGCCTTTTTGGAGCAGTATTAGGTCTTCTGTTGATACCTTGAATGGCTAGAGCAGAGGTATCAGCAGTTACAGAAGCAATGAGTTTGCCTCGTTGAGTACCATATAACTGTCTCTCATGCTGTAACATACGTTGGAAAACCCTGTTGATGTTGGGTAACTCATCCCCAAACAGAACTTGGGAGCGAACAGCAGAGAAATTGTCATTCAAACCTCTTAAAAACTTAATAACATAGCTTGTTTCCTGATATTCATGAACCAGCTTCATGGCTTGGCATGTGTTGTGACTAGTGGTAGTACAAGCACAAGGAATTAGAGGCTGATAATTGTCGAGTTCATCACGAAGAGTAATAACCTTGCCATAGTATTCAGTAACAGTTTGTGTACCCTGTTTTAAACTACAGAGTTCTTCTTCTATTTCAGCAACTCGAACAATGTCACCAGAACCATACCTTGTTTGTAAACTCTTCCATGCCTCAGATGCAGATTTGCTCGAAAGAATGGTCTTGCGTATCTCAGATTCAACAGCTTGTTGTATCCAACTTAAGATCATAACGTTGTTTCTCACCCAGGCATTTCTCTTCGGATCTGTTTCTGCAGGTTCAGGAATGGCGCCATTGAGGAAACCCAGCTTGTTCTTTGCAGCAAGGGCGTTGAACATGGCGCGGCTCCAGTCATTGTAGTTTGTTGGGGTGAGCTTCTCGCTGACCAAGAGAGAACCAGGTTGCTCAGAACCATGAAGGAAGTATGGATCTTCCATTGGGTAAGGAGTGTTTAAGTTTTCACCAGATGCAGAAGCATCTTGATGGGTTTCGTTTGTGGCCATGGCGGCGCCCTAGGGCTCTGATACCATGAAAACAATTGGGAGAAGTGGGTAAAACCCTAATGCTTGATTCTTCTCATTGATCTGTTTAGCCATTTTATAGGCAGATGGATTACAGAAAAAGACAGCCAAGCTAGTACATTTTGTCTATTAGCTTGGAGAGGAAACAATTACAAACTTGAAACAAAAGAAACAGAGAGGAAGAAGTAAAGTAAAACGGCACAGCTTTGGTGATGTTTGCTAGCTTCCTGAAACGCTGCCGGATTGGAGAGTGTCTTCAACCTTCGAAATCTTTTGACCGTTGGCATTGAATTTTAGGGATTCATTTCCTGTTAGCCCAGCAGTTTAGGAAAGTTGACTGGAATGACAATTGCTCCAAACGACTTTTCAATGATGGAGTCTAATTCGAATGTTATCTCGGCTTATTTCTACGACGATATGCTTAGGTTTGCATCCATTTCGTGGTTGGAAGTCTTTTGGAAGACTCATCATCAGGGGCTTCCGAACAAACACTTGGGATTATACACTTTCCTTGATCTATCCAATAATCAACTGACGGGTGCAATCCCAGATAGTTTGGGTAACTTGAGGAGTCTCAAAGAGCTCAACTTCTCGCACAATAGTCTCTCCGGTCAGATCCCAGCTAGCTTTGGCAACATGAAAGAATTGGAGAGTTTGGATTTGTCTCGCAACAATCTGTCGGGAGAAATTCCAGCATCTTTGGGGACATTGCTGCAAATCACTAATCTGCAATTGAGCGATAACAATCTCTCCGGCCGGATCCCTGCTGGCCCCCAAATGGATAGGATGAACGATCCTAGTTCTTACGCCAACAACGACGCCGGATTGTGCGGAATACAGACTGCCAAACCGTGCGATGATAATGATACGCCACCACCTGCAACACAGGAGGCAGCGCCTAGAGGAGGACTGGAGAATGAAGAGGGGTTCTGGTTTTCGTGGATGACAGCAGGAATTGGATACGGTACTGGATTTTTCACGATGGTGCTTGGAGTGTACGGCTTCGGTTACTTCCACCGCATTCCAGAGCTGCGGCAGCGACGAAGGATGATGAGGCGCCGTGGCATCAGGTTCTGATGATGAGTTGAAATGTGTTGCCGTGATCCGAATCAAATGGTTGATTCAATTATTACTCTATTCTAATGTAATTAGTAACGATGAAGTCCTATTACCATGTAATGCTGCCGTTGGAAGAAGTGCTGAAACAAGTTGCGGAGATCGACGACTCTCCGTTCTTGCATCTTCCTTAGATCATCAGGTGCAGCCACATTGATCTGGATCCTTTTCCTAGCCATGTACACCTTGCTTTGCCATCAATTCTGCCGAGTGCTGTACAGATGAAACGAGTGAGAAAAAAGTAACAGAAACAATCCCCTTCTCCTCCTCCTACCTAGGGTTTTGAAGCTATGTCCATTCGATCATCACCGGACTGATGTTCATTCATTCCATGCCGGGTTCTTCGACACTCAACTCAGAGGCATCATGTAACTGTGTATCTCTTCTTTGATCCGTAACAGTTCACTAGCAGCGGTTTGAATCAAAATCATTTACAATTCACTGAGAGCTGCTGAATTAGCTAGCTGGTTTGTTTCAACGAGGCCTATTATTAGGCTATTACTAACAAAAGGAATTAGCTACCTAGTCCTTCTCTAGTAATGTACAACCTTAATCGCTAGCAATGCTACGTGATATACAGAGGATGCGAGAACTTCATACAATTTCGGCGTAGGAAGGACTGAAATAAGTGGGAGAGTAGTACCAGAATATGAACAACGCCCAATTGGAAAGGGAAAACCAGCAGGCTCTTGAACATGGATAACAAATCTGAATGCAGATTCATCCAACGGCAAGCGTGTTTGTCAGCATTCGAACACAGAGAAAGCATAGTGAATTCTACATCTCTTCCACGGTCAATGCCAGGTTTTTGGGTGCCCTGCAAGTCAAGAACAGCATTCTCAGCAGTTCAGAAATCACAGCCCAATAGTAAAGGATAATTTGAAAGGCTAGAGTTAGGGGGTGGGGGGGGGGGGGGGGGGGGGGCGAACTTACCTTGTTGTCTTGTTAATGACTCGTCTTACGAGGGATACGAAACATCAGTGTCCCCAGCGAAATGTGAGCTCTGTCTTCCCATCCAGAAAAAAGATCTGCCATTTTCAAAGGGCTGTTCCTTTCAGAGCAATTGTCACCCATGAACTGGTCTGTTAAAGCAACACAGCACAAAGAACTCCGTAGCTTACCTTAGCTTGCTTGACCCATCAATTGGTTTTCTTCCCACTAAGAATCCTGGAAATCTGCAGGCCCCTACTAAAGGCCTCGTTGAACAGAATCCTCGTCTGCATGGCCTGAAACCCTGGCAACCACGACAACAACGCCACGGGGGCCATCACAATCACTCCAAACAGCAGATCATAAATCCTCGCCAACGAAACCACCGTATCCCAAACCACTGTAGACTCCAAAAAAGGCCTCAGCACGAGAGCAATGCTTATCAGCCCCCACCCTGTGGGCACAAACGCCAGCATGCTGCTGACCAAATCCAGCAACGTGAACGACGTAAAGTCCAACAATAGAGTCAGTACAAGCACGGTCATCGAGATCACCACGAGCTGTGTCAGCCTGTACTTGATATGCTCCTTCGCCGCAAATCTCTCTTGAGCGTACATCATCACGACATAGATCCCCATCACCGCGATCATGTAAATCCACGACAGCAGGTAAACTGAAATGCTGGTCTTCCCGCCGGTGATGTTGAGCTGGTACACGACGCCGTATTGGAACATGAAGTACCGGAGATCGAGGATGATCTCTAAGAGCTTACCCCAGAGTCCCGTGGTTCGCAAATGGTCCTGTTCCTCGTACCACCAGGTCTCCCAACTGTGCTCTGCCTTAGTGAACACGCCACCTTTGTACCATATCCAATTCAAGAAGTCCTCAAAGTCATATACCGTCTTCAACCAGTCAAATCCTGACGGGTTGAAAACGAATGGGGCCATGATCCACGACAAGACGAGGAACCAGCTTGATAACGTCATCGCCAAGTAAACAAAGCTGTCCTGTGCCATGGGGCTGTGAGCTGCGTAGACTATGAGAATCACACCGAGCTCAATGGCCTTGACGAAGTGACTTCGAGAGTAGAGCCTGTAATTTTCAGCAAAGCTCTTGTGCTGGACCACGAACCCGCGGCCAGTGGCACGGTACTTGGCACCACCGTGAAGGATGGTCCGGCCGAAGAAATGGGCTCGGGTGCCCATGGAGAAAGTGTAGAAGACAGATGCCAGTTGGAGCTGCATGGTCAAGAAGTCCCAGACGGCAGGGAGAAAGCCATGCTCGAGGGAGTTTTCAACCACCATGGGGAGGGCGGTGAAGAGGCCGATCTGGATGAAGAACTGCTGGTTCAGGATTACGCCGAAGGCCTTGTTGTTCTTGCTAGTTTCCATGGCGTAGCCTTCTATGCCGCTGAGAGCGAGGTAGAGACGGCCCCAGAGGAAGGAGTAGACGGTTAGTACGACCACCATTGTGTTGAAGAAGAAGCCAACTGTAGTGTAGTAGAACGAGAGCATTCGGAAGAAATCCAATCTGTGGCCTAGTCTGTAGACGTCTCGGCTTAATATTTGCTCGCCGTTGCCACTTGCTACCTTGGCTTCAAACATTGATATCTGGTTCAATCCGACATCCCGGCCTTTGCCCACCTGTAATCAGCATCCAGATGTTACGTAAAATCGAAAACATGGGCAAAATAGAACTTGGGGAATTGTAAGATTTTACGGATCGTGTTATGACGACAGAGTACTGTACCTGTATATATTCATGATGAGTCACATTGCCTCCTCGAAGGGTACAGTTGAACCCAGCAAATATATCCTCACTGATATTGATCAGCCGAGAAGCTTTGCTGACCCCGCCACGTGGCATGAACCAGAACCGGTCAAACACATCCGGATGACCATAATGCATCCTAATCTTCAAAGGATTCGCCAGAACTCTCTGGCCAAGAGTCACAAAGCTCGTCTCCTGAGCAGACATGAACCAGGCAAGAGAGGAAACCGAACCGGTGAAGATGTTCTCACGAACACCCAAGATCGTCGGCCTCCTGATTCCATAATGTACCTTGAACTCCTCCAGCAGATTCCTCATCTTGAGAGCTTCCTCGAAGGAGTTGTCCTGGTTCATGTCGATGGTCTGAACTGCATCTCCGCGAGTGAAGATGAATGCATGGTTTTGATTCTCGGGCTTCCCTTCCCCGAGCTTGAGAGGACCGGGCAGCCTGACACGGTATACCTCGACTTCTCTCTGCTGTTCTTGATCATACTTCACGAGGACGGAGTAGTACTCGGCTTCATCTCTCCCCAAGTGGACCTCATCGACGTACGCAACTCGAAGTGCCTCGTTGTTCTTCATCAGGTGGAGGATCTCGTCGGCTCGAGGATCACCCTTGGCTTTGTGCTGCCCGTAGACCTGTTTATCATAATCAGAATAGAAATGTTTGCGTAAGATATCACAGAAAAAAAATTATAGGATCCGAATCGAGATTTTAACCATGATATCAAACCTGACAAGCAACAACGTAGGTGAACTTCATGAGCGCGCTCCCATACTCGTGTCCCTTGAACAAGAGCCCCACGGTGCTCGTTGCTCTGCCCAGCTTCCTCAATGATGGTCTCTCTCCTCCTCCCCCTCCGGCAGAGTTCAGACCATCATCACCCAACTGTCGGTTGTTCCTCCTCGATGAATGATGAGAAGCAATCTCCTGCGTTCCCGCCCTAATATCAACCTCAGAGGCCGAATCAAGGTAGGCAAGCATCTTCAGAGCCCTGTAATAATACATCATCCCTCTAACAGTTCGCGACAATGTCTGCCCTCTGTACGAAGCCCAAAGACGAAGATCCCTTGATTTCTTGTCCCACACATCATCCTCGTCCTCCATTCCTTCCCTCTTCATTCTCTCCATGAAGTTCCTCCACTCATCCTCATAGATCTTCTGCAGATAAAACAGGATCGAGATTCCATCCTCATTCGGAGTGCGAAGATTCTCTTTCCCAAAACAAACCTCTTCGTCATAGTAAGGTGTCAGCACACTGAACGCCATCATCTTCTCGACATTTGGCGCACGTGGCATGTTCATGAACAGAGAATTGCTGAAGAAAGCAATTCGCCGTCTCGCCTCGATGTTCTTAGGAACGTCGTGCATGGAATCTCGTGATGTGAGAATTGTGTGCACACGCCTCAGTTGTCGATTGAAGAACTCATCTTCAGCGTCGGGGAACTGAACAGCATTCTCAAAGAGCAGCTCTGTTTCACGCTGGGAGGCTAAACCATCATTTCTCAGTTCCGGAATGGACCTCTTCAACTTCGGGAACTCACGAACACAAAGTTCGTACAATGCCTGCAATACATCCACAGTTGCCCTCTCATCTTTCCTGGGTTTCCGCAGAAGCTCAACTAATTGTATTACCTTGGAGTGTATCTTGGGAAGCAGGCAAAGGTTGTAATTCTCAGCAAACTTTCCAATTTGAATGTGGCCATCTACCTCGTTGAAGAATTTCCCAACAATGGAGTTCTCTTCTGAACCATACTTCACCACCGAAAGCAACAAATACCTGATGCAATCATACGCCTCGATTACAGCGCAGCGCCGGTACTCGCTCTGGCTGATCTTCAACCAAATCCAACTGTCGGGTGCTTCAGCCAGCTCGAGCGCCTGACTCAGAGCTAGCAGTAGCTCATTGCAGAGAAGAACACACGGCCAGCGAATCACTCTAACGTTCCAGCAGTTCGGCGGAAGCTCCAGGAGCTCGAGCTCTTTATAACTGATCAAATCCTCTTCCCTGAAAGCCGTCATGATCTCGTTCCATATCAATGCAAACCTCGTGGCCTCCACCTGGCTCGACTCAATCTTCGTGTAAGGTTGGCCGAACCCGTATCTCAGTCTCAATCTGTGAATCGCGTCTCGAAGCTTCTTCACTAGGTTCATCTTCGGGCCGAGAAGTTGCTCCTCGGGCATTAAATTGAACTGCATTGCGCTGGCGAAGAACTGGAACCGGAGTCTGAGCTGACCAATGTTCCTTATCTCGCCCAAGTGGGAGAACAAGCCTACGGTGGCTCCAACAAAGGAGGAGAAGATGGCATACCAAATTTGCAAATCGGTGAAGTAGATCAGCATCACAGGCATCCACATTACTACCACTGCAACTCGATTGCTATGGCCAAAGAACTCATGCCACTTATACTGAAAAATGTTGACCTTGAGAATCGCCTTCGTCGGAGCAACCATAGGCTTGATCTGGAGGAAGTAGCTGAACACAAACTTTGAAGCTAAAACCAGTATCCAGAACACAGTGTACTTGACATTGTCAACGAGCCCTTCTCGAAGTCCCCGGCCTACGAATGTTCTGGTATGAAACCACCACGTGAACAAGTATACAAAACTCCAATCCCACTCTTCAATGGCATTTCGAATCCATGGGAGTATGAAGAGCAGAATGGCAAGCAATTCCGGGATAACGAAGACCAGCACTGCTTGGAGAAACATAGTGATCCTCTGGTCAGCTTCGTTTGAACTCCCCGACCTCCATATCATCCCATAGAAGACCCCAAACACAACCGTCCATGCCACTGCCACCACAAACTTCAAGCTCATTCGCAGCCCCAACAACCATGTCTCCCTAGTGACAAGGCTGTACTGAGTTCCAGCATCTAGCACAGCTTGCAGAACTCTCAACCCACTCCATGTAATGAAGCAACTCAGAAGCTTAACTTGGACTGCTCTTCGCTCAATTGCATGCCAAGGATACTTAGTCTCCTCCCAAGCAACGATAATGCTCGCTTGCAGGAACAGAATCAGCAGTACCCACTGCTTATCGAAGCTCCGAAACAAGTTCCAGAACGACCTCTGCTCTACAAAACCAGTCTTGCCAACTCTATGAATCTTATCCACCGTATCGAAGAAATTGCTACTGAAATTCAAAGGCCATCTCAGCTTCTTGAAACACCTCCTGCTCCAGAAGAATTCATTCAAGTCGTCGTAGTTTCTCCAAGCGGAATGGGGCTTCGTCCCGTTCCTGGAGCTGTCCACTTCGGACTTCAACGTCCGATAAATAGGCATGATTACCGATTTCAGAAACGCACACTCGCCGGAGATTGAAGGGAGGAAAGCCCTACCAGTTTCTGGATCGGTCCACTCGTCGAGGAATTGGTTGAGCTCCATGGCCATGTGGTGGTAGATGTAGCAGAGACACTCCGGCATGAACCTTAGGTTTCCAGATTCGCCCCAAATTAGAAGGTAGAGCCCGACGTAGAGCAGTTCGCGGCGGATTAGGTCGTCGCTGCTAGGCCGGCCGGAGAGGATGAGCTGGGACCTCCTGCCGATGTACGAGCACCAGGAGGTGTAGTTCGTTAGTAGCTTCCGGCGGAAGCGGCGGAGCACGGTGGGGTCCAGGGCGTCCGGCAACGACGGCGGCGGCTGGAGTCGCATTTGCGAGTTGGCGAGGTGGAGTACCAAGTGCTCTCGCTGGTTCCGCACGCTGTCGCGCTGGAAGCCGAATAGCAAGCCGAGCCAGTCCAGGAGGTCGTAGTGCGGCTCCCAGGGGAGAAACGGTGGTTTCCGGAGGTCGCCGACTGCGCGCAGCGCCGCCGCCGCGGCTCGTACTTCCGGATAGCGTAGAGACGGGTGGTCCGTGAGGAGGTCGTGGATTGGGATTATGTTGAAAACCTCCGGCTGCGGCCGTTGGTGCGGCGGAGGATTGCGGCCGCGCGTGGGCCGTGGCCCCCGCGAGTTGGCGCTCATTTTTGCTTGACAGTGTAGAGGACTTCCTTCGGGACGAAATTCGTTTCCCGCCGGCGGGGGAGTCAAACCGCTTTCTTTGATTCCAGCTTTCTCCCGGCGGCGCGGCCTTCCTTTGTCTTTCTCTCCCTCTCAGCTTTTTGAAAACGGAAATTGAAAGCTTACTCCACTTTTGGTCTTCTGAAAGAAAACCTTGGAAAGAAAGTAGGGAACTGTTACTTTTTTTTATCTGAAACCGGATAATAATAGATCGATATGGTGGTTGGCAACTAGAGTACGCATTACCGAATTTTTTTTTTTTTTCTACAAATACGATTTTGCCTATTTAACTCAAAATTTTCATATTCATACGTCGAAAACAGTCATCAACTCGAATTTTTTTTTTTTTTTGAAAGATTAAAGAAATATATATTATGTAATTTTTTACATTACAATTGTATACCAACCAACAAGCTAGACCATCAGTCGTATGGGCACTATTAAGCTTTTTGTTGTTTAGCTAGAAGGCGCCTAGGAATCTAAATCACTAAGGACTGCTCTACACAATAAACATAAGATAATGAAAACGACTGATGGCGATTATGACACAATTAGGATTATGATTAATGTTCTCCATCAAAGTAGCTTGGTGCTTTTGATGAGAACAATTAGAAGGTGGTGCACAAATGGCAAATAAAATAATAAATAATGGTAAAGTGACAAGTGGTAACGGGTTCATTTATTCTGCTATTGGAGTACGTGGGTTTACTGTTTATTTACGGTTTCAGGCTCGTCGTTTCTGCTGTTGGTGGGCTGGGCATGTTTTCTGGTCAGTCGATTTTGTGGATGAATATAATAAATTAATAATGCAGCATGTGGTATACAAACAAATGTAAACAATTAAAAAGGTGACAACCAAAGCCAACGGTCACTGCAAAAAAGGACCCTTTTCCAACAACACATTTCAGCATGAACATTAGAATATCCAGTTCAAATATTCCGAATCAGTAGTCTTATGATGTGGATTAAGTTGGTGGCTTGATGCACAAAGAAGGTACTAGATCCACCTCATTGGGCTTTTGAGCCAGTTGGGCCATAAAGAAAGAGAGTTATTGGGTATTCAGTCCAAAAATTCACAAACAGCTGCTTCTGTTTGACAATGACAGCCCAAACAAACACGTATCATGTAATGTTACTAACTTGTGACTAGAGAGAGCTGCCTGGCAAAAGACTGTTCAAATGGGAGGAACTATTACAAGTACAAGTGCTACAAAGGGAAAGTTGGCTAGTCCTTACCAGTAGTAATGTACACGATTGATCGGCCTTGGCCTGTCATTTGCTTGTACTGCTGAGTCGCTATACAGAAGAAGAGGAGGAGAATTTTTTTCATCTAACTGCTGCACAGTAAAAGGACTGGAAATGGGAAAACAAAATCAAAATGAAAAAGGCAGCAACCAGAAGACTTGAAGCTATGCCCATGAACCACCACTGAGCTCCATATCTCTTCCATGGTCAATGATTTGCCTACCTGAATTATGTTCAGAATTCTTTACCCTGCAAACACAATAATAGAGTCTTCAGCATAGTTCAAAATTGCAAACCAAAACAAATGGCAGTAAAGATATCTGGTTTGTCACATTTCAATACACCAGCCTTCGTCCTGCTTTGTATACTGATGACCATATTACCCTTCTAGCGAAAAACTTCTTTAAGATTCCTGAGCCAATGAAAGATATTCTGCAACCTACAAATCTAGAAATGTAGGGTCTTAAGAAAAGCTTATTCAAATACTAGGAACCATAGTTTCTGAGTCTAGGAAGCCTTATACAATATACCTTTCTCATTTCAACGAAGGAGCATAAGGAGCTGGACATGGTGAGATTGTGAGATCAGGTAGCTGTGCTATCAGATCACGAGTTGCCTCCAGACACGCGTTAAGTATTTTCTTTTCCAACCGCACTAGCTGAGTGGCAACTCTCTTCTTTGGGTTCAACTTATCATCCGCCAACTAATATGATTAGAAAGAGTAAAGAACTAGTAAAACTAACCAATTTGTAGATTATATCATCAAGCCCTCAATGGAAACAATGATAATACCATCAATTCGTCTTCGCTTAAGCTAGTTGGGTACAAAGCCAGGCGCTTGTTGAAATACTCAGCAAGCTGATCCAATACTGCCCGCTCCAAGCAGGGGCTAACCTGCAACAGGCAATAAGTTTCAGCAACAAGGCAGAGATCACATTTAGCTGTATTCTCCAAAACAAGCCTGCTTAGGACTAATTACTCTCTCTGGTGAACTTCTAATTCAGTACTGCTTTATGTTTCATGGCCATAACTAGATTATTATAATATTCAGGGAAGCAATAATTATCCAGGAAGCCAAATTAATGCACATAAACTTACTGGACAAACTGGACCCTGCGAGGACATGACGGATTCCAATTCAGAAGTATCTGATACGTAGCCTAATCGTAGATAAGGAAGCATATCTGAGACAGCTTCCTTTTCCTTCCCCACTTGAACCTGGAATAAGGGGAAAATAGAATATTCAACTGAGAATCTTACGCTTAACTTTCATTTAAAGAAAAAGTAAGAAGGAAGTCCTACCACAAAATCTTGCATGGAGAGTTTGCCATTTCTTTGAGCAACCAATCTTTTCTCCTGATATTGAGGGTCCTCAGTGTTTAATGCAGCCTGAAGCAAACCACAAATCAGTAAAGTTGATGAGGAAAAACTTCAATTTCAAAAGGAGATCCCAAGAATAAGTACCTTGATCATGAGGCGGTCATAAGGATTATCCTCGTCAACAAAACCATAGTTTATAAGCAATCTTGAATTGGGTTGCGGTCCACACCTGGAAGTTTCAGTAACTTCAGCTCTTGGATAACCAGAATGGACAGCATCATAAGGAACACCCACAGAACAACATGACACAATTTGTTTCACAGCCATACCAGACAGCAATGGGTTCCCCGGCCTTGTATGGGCGATCAACTACCAGTTCAACAGCACCTTCTACAGCACTTAGCATTGCCTTACAACTGCTTCTGTATGATAGCAAGGGAGGCCCCAGAGGAACCAAAGCAAATCTACGAGCCAAGCTGACTTTCTGAGCAATAGAAGGCAAAGTATGTTCAGATTCAATCTCAACACCAGCTCAATAAAGATGATAGGAAAGGAAGGACAGCAACTAGCAGAAGCTCATATTAGTACTAGTACATTGAAGATACAGCAAACCGGATATATACAATAATTACAGAGACTTAGAACTATATAATTTCTCAATAGCCACACGAAAATTCAAGATGGAACATATCCCAACAGTTCAAGTCTTGCATACTATGGGTAGAGATAAAGAACATTAACATATTACATTTGCAAAACTTGGAATAAAAACAGACGAAGTAAGCTTTTTGCAACATTCTAATGCACATAGCTGATTCACTATGCCCATGAACGCAAAGCCAACAAAATTTATAAGTTACCTGCAAATGCACCACACATGACTGAACAGCAACGAAAGCTTGTTTGAAAATCTCAAAGGAAAATGCTTCTGTTGGTATATCAAAGGGGTATTGCTGCAGAAAACAAATCAAGAACCACGTTGATAATGGTTACCGAACAATTGGTCAATCTTATAGGGATCAGACACAAATTTGTGTAGGGTAGAAGATAACCTGAAACAAAGAACCAGCCATAAACCATACTGTATCAAGCTCATCATATTCTCTTTTGATTCCGTCTGCCCTCTCGATGATTTCAGCCTACTTAAAGAAACACCAAATTATAGCCTTAATACATCTCAATATCAATAAGTAACTGAAAATTAAAACGATAGAAGTACTCGGTACCTGAGTAGGGCTGCCAGTCAGGTAAGCCAACTCAGCCTCCGACCACAGTAATGGAGATTCCACAGCAAGTTGACCTCTACCTCGCTGACGATCAAGCTCTCGTATGTACGGATACCAGAACGACTTCTTCCCCTGCTTCTTCTCGTACATCAAATACAATGCCAAGCATGCCAACTCCGATAGCTTGTTCGTCGTCAACAATTCCGCTGCAATAGTCGAGAAAATTGAATCAAAACTACTCATAAGAACTGCAACATTACAATAAGAACAAAACCTTAAAAAGGCACAGAGACGAAAGGCTTACCTACTGTCTCATTTCCTAATACCCGATCGAGCGTCACAACGAGAGAATTCGGGACGGAAAACGCCACATCCCCAGCCTGGGATACACATACAACGAAGCTTCAAGCCAGAGCAAGAAAATAAAGAAACTCGGTCAACTCCTAACTAATCTAATCCACGTTTTATCCCTCACCTGAAGATCTTCGCTAGCTGCGACATAATGAATGGAGCAAAGCTTCTCGTCGAGGGACGGCCTATCTCTAAGAACGACTTTGCAAGGAGGGAGACCGTTCTGATGCATCCACGACTTCAAATCGCCACACTCGTCCTTCTCCTCACCGTCTCCTCCACCTCTCTTGTTCGCAACTCCACGTCCGGGAGCTGAATTGGCGGCGGAGACCAAGGCCTCCGGACTGGACGCGAAGCAGCAGCTGCGGCCACGAGAGAACGGGATGGAGGAGGAGGAGGAGCGGCGAAAGAACTGGTGTCGTTGTTGTTGGTGGCGGCGGGAGGCGGGGTGGAGGGAAATGGAAACCCTAGAGAGGAAGGCGAGAGGAGGAATGTAGTAGTAGGTGTTGCTGAAGGGAGCTGATGCAGCGGCCGCTTCCATTGGAAATTCAGGAATTCTCGATTGGGAGGATTGAGGAGTGTAGTCACGGAGCTGGATTGCTGGCCCGAGGGGAAATGGCGGAAGGAGGAGATTTTTTTGTGTGGGGACGGTGGCGGAGGGAGGAGATAAGGGAGGGAGAAGGGAATCTGCGACTGAGAGTGAAATAATGTTGGAGGGGAGGGAAAGCCGGGAAATTAGGAAACGAACAAAAGAAAACGGTTTTGATGGGCGTTTCTCTGCTGGGAAGGAAGGGACTACGGTGTTGATGATGGTAAGGACAAAACTCTGGGTTGTTTAATGAGGGCTTTTATTGTGAGAAATAGGACAGATCAGTGATAGGGCACTACTGAGTAGTGAGTACTGACTACTGAGGGTGTTTTTTCACGAGGATTAGTGGTGGGCTTCATTGGTGGCTATTTAGTGAATTTTTTTTTTTTTTTACAAAGGATTTACTTGTATTGCTCTTTGAGAGAAAAGTTACAAGGGAAGCCAAACAAAGAAGCCCAGAAAAGATCAAGGCAAGCCAAACATAAGCACACGGTTGTACAATCTGTGTTAAAGGAATACAAAAAGAGAAGAACAGAGCACAGAAAATATCAACCCAAAACATCAGCAACACTTGAATCAGATCCAGAAGACACCGAAAGCTCCCTTGCAAACAAACCAATCAAAGAGCACCAAGCATAATCAGCTCGTCCGATCCGACCGAGTCCATGACAATTGAATACAACGCCAAATGCCGCCTCCTGGGAGTCGCTCGAAGACGCTCAACACAGTGAATCTCTTGTGAGGGATTACATGGTGGTGGAAAGGGTAGAGGATCGAAATGCTCCGAGCTGAAAAAGCAGAGGAAGACGAGGCACCAAGAACTTGGTCAAGGGAGAAGAGGAACCCAAACTCCAAAATCCAAGGTCTGAAACCGCAGTCAGAAGGGCCAGACATCGCCTTCCTTCCACCGACGCCGACCAAGAGGCAGATGACTACCAACAGGGGGAACGGAGGGGAAAACAATGAATCGATTCACCATGCATGTTGTTGAACCCACCATCTAAAGAGGAGACCTCTAGATGCATAACCCAACTCCAAGGAGAGCAAATCCAGAAAGAAACCCTAGAACAGGGCAACGAAAGGCCATAAAGACAGGAGAAGCTAAAAAGCTGGAAAATCCGATTGAAAAAGGCCAAACCAGTGGCAAGGAAGCATAAAAATCAAGGAAGATGAAAGAAAAATGGGCTACCGCCGGTCACCAAGAGGTGCCGGCGGCAACCCCTGCAAAAACCCAAGCAGAGGGGCTGGAGGAGAAGAGAGAAGACAGAGGAAAATTTTGAAAAAAAGTAAGAGAGAGAGAGAGGTCTTACTGAGGACTCTCTCTCTTGAGAGGCTTAGATCCCTGCGTTTTTTTGCTTTCGCTTAGTGACTATTGATGTCAACAACATTGTGTTGCCTAAGTACCAAATCATTTGTTGATAAGATTTGTGTATAAGACTATAGGATGATAGACTTTGTTCGTCAAGTGAGTTTCATTAATGTAATTGTGTCTGAATAATAAAAATAAGTTGCATGCATAATAAATGCATCGTATTAGGTATTCAATATAATACATGGAAACTTCCGTATTAAAAATTTACTTAGTCATTAACGATATGTTTGGTTCTTTGATTCTTTGTTAGTTTTTTTTTAATCTGAAAAAAAAACTAACATATAGTTTATGGCTAGTATATTTTGAGGAAGATGTAATTCAAATTCATTGTTTATATATTCATTTGAGTTTTCTTATCAAAATTACAATAGTTGAAAATTGTAGTCTAGGACCTAAATTTATTTTTATTACAATTTAGCAAATATGACATCATGGTGCAAGTTAGGTTGCTCTAATTTTGTTTTTATTTTTATTTATTTACTTGAATTTATGGTATCAAAATTATGCATATTGTTGAAGTTTCTGTTTTAAGGGGAAAATATAGATTGAAAAACTATATCGAAGATTGCAAGGGTCGAGCTATAGTGTGTTGGGACTTGGTTTGACTTGGTTAGTCCGGTTCAACCAAATTTCCAACATAGTGATGGTAGGGTGGGTCCCGCCCTCTCCACCCGCGAAAATGGTCTTGGCCCCTAGGACCTTTTCGCTATTTAATAACATTTTATAAGTATAAGTCGTTCAGTATATTGGGTAATCCAATAGTAATGTAGTATATGGTAGCCAATCTTAACTTTTAATCTGAAGGACACTAGTTTAATTCGTAATACTCGTATATTTTGTTCGTGTTTTTTTACTTTACCCACTTCAAGACTTCATTATTTTAATTCTCATCTATATTTCCTTAAACCAAATAACGAAAAGACCACCCCTTTCATACTTTTTTATTACTTTCATTGAGTGATTTGCTATAAATAATTATTATTTTGATTCAGATTTTTTATTTTTCGACCCACCCGGTCATGAAATCCTGACTCCGCCCTTGGAAGATATTACCAGAAAAGTCAGCAGTGGGGTATTTTATGCTCAAACCGTAGTTTAATCGTGGTTCAACCGTTTCATACCTCCTGCAGGTTTAGCCTCCGGCATAAGGTTTTTTTGTTGAATTGCCTGTTGATATTTTCCCTCAATATAATTTGCATGATCTGGACTGTACTTGACCAGAAACCGCGTAGTTTTTGGTATGATCCTAATATATAATCTTCCTAGTCCTATCTTTTCTAATTGCCTTGTTAATACCATCAAAACACATTTTGGTCTTATTAATAATTTAATATGTCCTAAGCGACAATGGCAAAAAAAACATCATGTCCTAATCTAAAAGGGTTGCAACTTGCCAAGGTCACTCTCCTGCTCATCATCGACGCCATGGATGTTTCCGCCACCATAATAATAAGATCATAAAATCCCCACCCCCCGCTACTTCTGCAAAATTTATCTTTCCAACAAATAAAGAACTACCCCTTCCGATGGCAGCCACGACGACCAATAATCCAGAAAGCGCCGGCTACAACCCGGCAACGAAGACCTTCCACAGCCTTCGACCGCCGATTCACCTCCCGCAGGAAGACGCTCCCATCTCCGTCGTCGACTACGTCCTCTCCATCCGTTCCTTATCCCGCTGGCCGAACTCCACGACGGCCCTGATTGACTCCGCCACCGGTCGACGAATCCCTTACTCCGACCTCATCAGACGGCAGAAATCACTGTCGTATTACCTTCAGGACGTCCTCAAGCTATCTAGACACGACGTCGCTTTGGTAATCTGCCCCAACTGCGTTCAAGTCCCGATCCTCTACTTATCCCTCCTCTCGATTGGCGTCGTGGTCTCCCCGGGCAACCCGGTCAGCACCGGGTCGGAAATCGCCCGGCTCGTCGAGCTGTCCGGCCCGACCATCGCGTTCGCCACGTCATCCACGGCCCACAAGCTCCCGAAGCTGAGGCTCGGGACGATTCTCGTGGACTCGCCCGAGTTTGAATCGATGATGACTCATACTTTCGATTTGGATCTGAATCCCGGCCTCGGTCCCACCCAGCCGAGTCAATCCGACGTGGCGGCGATTCTGTACTCATCGGGGACCACCGGGAGGATCAAGGGGGTAATGCTGACGCATCGAAACCTAATCGGGGTCGTCGCCTTGTGCCGTTCGTCGGCGGTGGCGGCGGGAGAGAGGGCTTCTCCGCCCGTTTTGCTCTACACGGTGCCGCTTTTCCATGTGTTCGGGTTCATCTACTCGCTGAAGTCGGTCGCGCTGATGGAGACGGTGGTGATGATGCCGAGGTTTGGTCTGGACGGGATGTTGAAGGCGGTGGGGGAATTCGGCGTCACCGATGTGGCGATGGCGCCGCCGGTCGTTGTCGCGATGGTGAAATCAGGTTCCGCGGAGCGGTATGACTTGAGTTCGCTGAAGAGCTTGGTCGTCGGCGCGGCTCCGCTGGGGAAAGACGTCATCGCCGCGTTCAAGGCCAAGTTCCCTGCGGTGGAGTTGGCCCAGGTCTGCAACTTAATTTGTTTCTGAGATTTTATTAGCTTTATTTCCTTTTCTATATGTTTTGGCGGTCAGATTTTTTTTTTTTTTTTTTACAAAGAGGTCAGAAATTTTTGCAACGGTAAAAACTACATATTTTGGGAGTTATCAAATTACCATAATAGTCCACAAAAACGCTTCATTATTTAATAGTAGACACAAACTTTTAGATGGAGACAAAAATTAGAAAATTAAAGAAACATTCTACTTACATGGAATTTATTTGTTTCAAAATGCATTGAAAGTTGTAAAACACCATTCCAAACAAGTTTTCAGTTACCTAAATGAATAATTTTGATCCAATAGATAATAACATACAATTTCGCATACAAACGATTTTATTTTTTGAAAAAATTGTAATGAGGATTTCTACTAATCTCGAACATTTGTTTTATAAGGGGTATGGTTTGACTGAGTTGACCGGGCCAGTCTCGAGAGTGCTTGGTCCTAAAGAATCTAAAAAATGGGGCTCTGTCGGTAGGCTTTACGGGCTTTTGGAAGCGAGAATTGTTGATCCCGAAACACAAGAAGCTCTTCCTCCTGGAAAACAAGGAGAGCTTTGGGTCAAAGGGCCAACAACATTTAAAGGTAAAGATCGAAATACACCTAGAGTTTTCTGTGTTAGGACAAGCTAGATTGATTTGTGCGGAGTTGTTTGCACTTACGATAAAAGTTTATAGGTAATAGAACGTATGTAATTATGTAAACTCAAACCACCTTATGAGAATTTGGATTCTCAAGCTCGTTTACTGGTTACGATCTACGTTTATGAGCTTATTTTTAAGAAGTTATGAGTTTGCTCTACTTTTGAGTCAACACAAATTAGTTTATGTGTTAGATATTACATTTTAATTATGAATTTCATGTAGTTATTCACTTATCTAAAATCTACACACTCACATTTTACATACTATATGTTGTACTTAACATATTTTAGCTATTTTAGAGGGTGCATAAAAAACTTACGTTTTTACGCTTTGATTCTATGCTTTACGATTTTACCTATTTTCCGCTTCTAGGTAGAATCGCGCTTTTAACTGCATTGGTTTGCAGGTTATGTGGGTGATCCTGAAGGGACCATCGATAACATGGTTATCAATGGGTGGTTGAGGACCGGCGATCTTTGTTATTTTGACGATCAAGGTTTCCTTTATGTTGTGGATCGACTCAAGGAGTTGATTAAGTATAATGGATACCAGGTAAACTAAAATACCCTATTTTATTCAACTATAGTAAGTCATGTTGGCTAAAGGGTTTTGTT